TCCCAGGACCCTGGGATCATGACCTGAGCTGAAGGCAGTCGCTTAACCAACTGAGCCACCCAGGTGCCCTATTTTAAGTATTTTATAAGCCATCACAGAGGCCATTTCGATAGGTTTTCTGCACATTCATTATAAATCACTACTATGAAGCCACCTTGAAAGCAGTCATACTGGAAAACAGAATTCATCCCACAGATGTAATTTTGAGAACTGTGTGCTGATGGCCTTCCAGCGAATGAGTGAACTAAATTGTTGCCTTGTTGGAAGAGATCTTTGGTGGCAGTTTGAATACTAGAAAAGATTTTGCCAGTATTAGCACTTAGACTTTATTCTAAACTGCTCTTTCTGACAATTTACCTCGCTTCAGCTGCTTCGTAAGTCTGTTTTCAGTCACATAATGAACCTATTACCAGTACAGATTTTCTGACTGTATCTGCTGTAGTCTTGGTAAAAGTGGTCCCTAAATAAATAGGAATAATTTGGGGCACCTGGGTGGCTCAGTCAGTTAAGCATCTGCCTTCAGCTCAGGTCATGATCTTGGGGTCCTGGGATCGAGCCTTGCATCGGGCTCCCTGCTCAGCAGGGAGTCTACGTCTCTCTCTGCCCCTCCCCCTGCTCATGCTCTCTCTCTAATAAATAAATAAAATCTTTAAAAAATAGGAATAATTTATTACTGCATGCCTTGGTCACATGGATTTTATCTGATTTGGCTTTCCTGTTCTGCTGCTCTCGTAGGCACTCTGACTGCTGTGGAAAGTTTCCTGACTCTACATTCCGGACCTGAGGTTAGTTTTTCTGTTTCTCCGGTGTTTTTTAAAATTAATAAAAACATTTTGGAAATGACACATGCCTCCTAAAAAGATTTAGATGAATTAAATTTCATATATATTTGTAATTTTTAGGGTGTGAGAGTCACTGTGTTCGATTTTAAAAAGTAAAGATGGTAGCTTGCTGGGAATTAGTTAGACTCAAAATAGAATTTTGTTAAAAACAGCTGCACAGGTCACTGCATTAGAATGAGTTACCATGATCCCAGCACCAAAATATCTCTCATTGTTGTGTAATAAACGCTGTCAGCCATTTCAGTCCTCACCTTAGTCCAAGTCTGTGCACTTGTGTTGTGCACCTCACTCACAGCCCGGTGCTGTCGTGGCCGTAAAGAGATGGATGATGTCATCACCGACTGTCCAGCCTGTTTGGGACATGAGACCTGAGATGGCTGCGTTCCCAGAGGCCCATGTTTACGATAGGACTTTTATCATCAGTAGTGTTTGACCCAATTCTAGGTCTACACTTAAGGTTCTCTTTAAAATCCATTCATCCGGGTGCCTGGGTGGCTCAGTCGTTAAGCGTCTGCCTTCGGCTCAGGTCATGATCCCAGGGTCCTGGGATCGAGTCCCACATCGGGCTCCTGTTCGGCGGGAGGCCTGCTTCTCCCTCTCCCACTCGCCCTGCTTGTGTTCCTGCTCTCGCTGTCTCTCTCTGTCAAATAAATAAATAAAATCTTTAAAAAAAAATAAAATAAAAAATAAAATAAAATAAAATCCATTCATCCAGCAAGTCTTCTGTGGTGGTGCAAATATATATAGGAGTGCAAGGTAGTGTGACACAGAAATGAAGAAGATGCAAACCTGTCCTGAAAGAGATAATAACGTAGCTTGGCAGGAGAGAGAGATGTTAAAGAGATCAGAGAAAATACTGTATTTTTTGAGAATGGGGAGTAAATCCAGCTAGGAGGCCAGAGGTAAGAGCTGTCTGGAGAAGCTGGGCATGGACTGAGTTTTGGAGGTTGGTGCCATGGAGCTGGGCTAAGGGGGAGGGAGTAGCATTTTCAGGACATAGCTGTGGGAGGTATGGAGCATGTGCAGGTAAGAGTAATGGTTCTAGTCGTCCAGATTGTGGGATCAGGTTAATAAACACAAAGAGCTATATAACACATGCTAAAATCCGTGGTTACAGAGAATGCCCACTGGAGAATCAGAATAAAGGGAAGTGACAGAGGGCCTGAGTAACTGGGGACGGCCTCCTAGAGGCCTTGCGGATTTTAGCTGTGAGAAGGGAATAGCATTTGGAAGATCAGAGGCAGTCACCTGAACATAGGCTCAGAAGCAAGAATGAGATACGTACTTGAATCTGGGGAGCATGGGTAGAAACCCAGCTCCACCCAGTTTAAACCAGCAACACGAAAAGGAGCTGACTGATTCTGCAGGTGGATAGTGTGGAATTTACTGATGTCTGCATTCATTTCTGCTGGGTCCCTTTGTGTGCCTCTCAGCATGGCATGGAAGGTGCTGGCGGTCAGGGGTACATTGTCCTTAAAGTTCCTCATTTCCTGGGAACAGCTAGCAGAGTTGATTTATCACATGGTAGGAAAGATCAGTCAAGTATTGGGCCGTTCAGCTATTCTTGAGCCCATCAGTATGACCTGGTGTAACGGTGCAGTCAGATTGCCTAGGCCTGGGTCACAGGCCTCTGGAGGGGGGACCACAGAGTCAGGCCCATCTCTCCAACATGGAACATGTTCCAGATAGGAAGGAGAGTTTTATAAGCAGAAGATGAGGTAGAGGGTTGCAGGGAATTGCTGCAGGACCGACAAAACCCAGATGTCACAACAGGGAGATTGTGAGAAAATTGGTAGAGGAGAAAAGAGGCTGCTTTTGAAAGAGCAGCAGGAGATGCAATTGGAAAGATGAGCTGATGTAGAGAAAGTGTCTTCCCTTTACTAGCGGGATAGAAGAGCCCCTGATGGTTCTTACTGAGTCGAGCCAGATTTTGAAGCAGGACTGCCTGGCCTCAAATTCTGGCTCTGCCACTTACCAGTGACATGAGCGTGGGCAAGTACCACACTATCCTCACGGTGCCTTACTTCCTCCATCTGTAAAAGGAGATGGTAATAGTATCTACTTCATATGGTCACTGAGTCAATGAGTATAAATCAGAACAGAGGTGGGCAGTTAGCAGATTGCTCAGTGAGTGTTATTAAGTATTATTTTTGTTAATATTATTCAAACTTAAAGTTGGGGCTTAACTCAGGACAAGAGAGTTGAAGCATCCATACGAGTGCAGCTCCCTCTCTCATTCCCCCGAAAGCAAAATCCACAGTCTGAATTTTACAATGATGGGACAGATTCTGTGTATCCCTAGTCACTGAATTGTCCTGCCCCTCCTTATCTTTCTTTTCCCCTGGAGGTTTTTATTTTACACACAAAATTGTACCACAGACCACATGCTTGAATTTCAGAGGATTGAAATCATACACTGTAGAATAGTCCTGTCAGTCCGGCCGGCCTTCCCACAGTGATGGAAATGTCCCGTGTGTGCTGTGTGGGGGCTTATTACATCGTGGCTGTTGCGGCTCTAGAGCAGGTCAGCCTGTGGCCTTTTTTTTTTTTTTTTTTAAGATTTATTTATTAGAGAGCAAGCATGAGTGGGAGGGGCAGAGGGAGAGGGAAAGAGAATCTCAAGCAGACTCCGTGCTGAGCATGGAGCCCAACACGGGGCTCGATCTCACGACCCTGAGATCACGACCTGAGCAGAAACCAAGAGCTGGATGTTTAACCGACTGATCCACCCAGGTGCCCCGAGCCCATGGCCTTTTTTATATGTCCATAAGCTAAGGATGGTTTTACATTTTTAAAGGGCTATAGTAGAAACACAAAGATGAATATGTAGTAGAGACCATCTGTGCCTGTAAAACCTACAAGTTGGACCTTTCAGAGACCGTTTGCCAACCTGTTCTAGAGTGTGCTTTATTTTTTCTTTTTTAGAGACTTTTTATTTATTTTTTGACAGAGAGAGAGACAGCGAAAGAGAGAGCACAAGCAGGGGGAGTGGGAGAGGGAGAAGCAGGCCTCCCGCCGAGCAGGGAGCCCGATGGGGGGCTTGATCCCTGGACCCTGGGATCATGACCTGAGCCGAAGGCAGACGCTTAACGACTGAGCCACCCAGGCGCCCCTGGAGTGTGTTTTAGACTACAGTGCAATTATACTAGAAATCAATGAAGAGATAACATGAAAATCTCTGTGTATTTGCATATGATGAAATGTATTTTAAATTTATGTCATTAACCCAGACCTTTTTTTCTAAACTCAGACTTAAAACATCCAATCACCTAGCTGACATCTCCACTTGAACACTCGATAGATCTCTCAGACTGTGTCTTGTCCATACTGACCTCTTGTTTCTCCTTTCCAAATGTGCTCCAGCCTCGGGTCCTTTGTATCCATTTCAGTTGGTAGTAGCGTGTCCTTCCACACAGATCAAACAGTGTGGGCATTGCTATCTCTGTTCTCTGAAACCTAGATCCTGTCTGTCAGGAAATCCTGTTGATTCTGCCTTTACAATATGTGAGAATCTGATCACTCTTCACCATTTCCCTTTCTCCCACCTTATTCTTGCTACCACCTGTTCCTGTAGAGTCCATGCTCGACAGCCAGGATGGTCCTTTTCAGACCTCACTCGGATCTTGTCCTTCCAGTCGTGTGCAAGAATATAAGTGACGTGGCCCCTGTCCCCTCTCCAGCCTCCTCTTCCACACGTCTGTGCATTCTCCCTCATTTACACTGACCTTTGTGCCCTCCTCGAACACACCAGCACACTGCAGCCTGTCTGCTTTTGTGCTGGCTCTCTCCTTTTCCTGAAAACACTTCTCAGAGATGTTTGCATGACTGACACCCTCATCTCCCTCAAGTCTTTTCTCAAATGCCATTTTCCTGATGAAGTCCTATTTAAAACTGCAAACTTAATTCCTTTGCCCATCATTTTCAGTTCATCATATCTACTCTTTTTCTTTTTTCCTATAGTACTTCGCACCTTCTAAATCCTATGTATTGTATTTTTTATTGAGTTTGTCACCCTCTCTAGAATGTGAGCACCACAAAAAGAAGGATTTTTGTCTATTTAATTTACCAAGCACCCAGAATAGTGCTGGTCACATAGTAGGAGCTCAGTAAGTGTTTGTTGGCTGACTTGAGTGGACAAGGCTAACTTAACCTTAATTCTAAAACCCTACAAGAACAATTCCAGAAGGCAAAAGTCCAGTCCAGTTTCATGTTCTAGGAACACAGATGTAAAAAATCCTAAATAAAATATTAGCAAATTAAAAGCAGTAATACATAAGAATACACTTTTTTTTAAAAAGATTTTATTTATTTTTTTACAGACAGGGAACACAAGCAGGGGGAGTGGGAGAGGGAGAAGCAGGCCTCCCGTTGAGTAGGGAGCCCAGTGCGGGGCTTGATCCCAGGACCCTGGGATCATGACCTGAGCCAAAGGCAGACGCTTAATGACTGAGCCACCCAGGTGTCCCAAGAAGAATACATTTTGACCAAGTTAGTTTTAGAGAGGAATGGAAGGGTTAATATTATGTAATTGCTATAATCCACCTCACTAACAGGTTAAAGGAGGACAGTCTTACGATCATCTTGATAAAGAGAGAAAAAGTGTGGTAAAATGTACTATCTACTCATTAAAACTTAACGGCAAGCCAGGAGTAGAAGGGAAGATTATCTTTTTTTAAAAAAGCTATAATAAAGATGATACCCAGTGTTTAACATTGAAAACTTATTGCTCTCAGTTCAGGAATAAGACCTGGGTGCCCATTACTTCAGCCAGATTGTAGCCAGAGCAGTAATGCAGGAAAAAAGAAACTGTATATAGGTTAGAAAGGAAGAAACAAGGGGTGCCTGGGTGGCTTAGTCGGTTAAGCGTCCGCCTTTGGCTCAGGTTATGATCCTGGGATTCTGGAATGGAGTCCCGAGTCGGGCTCCCTGCTCAGCGGGGAGCCTGCTTCTCCTTCTCCTACTCAC